ATCTCCAAGCAGCCTTCACACTCCTGACACAGGAGCATGGAGTTGCACAAACAGGGTGAAGGATGCAACCTAACTTCTTTTTTTTAATTACTTTTTTGTACCTCTTCACACTTAACACTGTGTGGCTGTGATGCATAGACCTTCCTGCCTGCAGCTGTACAGCTGTAAGGCAGCAGGATGGTTGTTCAGCTGGATGGGATTGAAACCAAAGCTCCCTCCTATTCCCCAAGGTCATCAGAGTGCTCCCTCCCTGCTTGAGGCCAAGAACTACTTCTCTGCTTGCTGGGAGCAGAAAGGGACAACTGTCAACTGCTAGGAACCCTTTGCCACCAACCCTCCCTCTCCACCACCTCTACATCAGATGTTTCCACACTGCTGACTCTCCACTGGGACAACTCCACACAGACTGGCAGATGCAGTGCTCCTCCCTGTCGCACCTCCTTGCCCACTGGTGCTGCCCTGCGCGGGTCTTCCCCGCACGTGGTGAGCTCTGCAAAGCCCTTCAACAACAACAGGGGCTCTGCACAGTGCCGTGGGAGCCCCAGGTGCCTGGCAGTGAGCAGTCTCTTACGGGAGACTGACAGGGGGACTACCAGTGAGCTTGTTTCTGCCCTGTCTGCAATACACATAACATTAGGTGGAGGAGGAGGTGTGTAGGCAGGAGAGCAAGTGGCAGGGGAGCAAGTGGCAGGGAAGGCAAGGTGGGGGGTACAAGGGGGGCTGCTAGGGGGAAAGCGAGACACACTGCCTGGGGGAAGTGCCTGCAGTTTTGTCATACAAGCCTTGCCGTTTTGAAATACAAAAATGAAAATTTTGACCAGCATAAGCATAGCCAGCTAACATGCAAGCAGGACGGAAGGCAAGTGGGAAGAACTACAGGAGCATTTTGCTCAAGAAGCTGGGGAGAAGGCAGCTGTGCTGCTGCAGAGGTGACTGGCAGCTTGTGGCAGGGGACTGGCACAGTGTTGCATGGCACAGAGGACCAGAGGCAGTACTGTGCACCATTTGTCAATCCATGTGGAGTTGTCCCAGTGGAGACCTGGTGGTGTATAAGTGTCTGGAGGAGAGCTGCTGGCAGACAGTTGTCCTAGACCCACTGGGAGGAGGTGGATAGGGATTTCCATTCCCCCAGCCCAAGAGTCAACCATCATTTATGGATAGTTATAAATAACATGATTTATTCCATCACAAGAGCTCTGTGATTTTCTGATCCAAAGACTCTCAGAACTCACTTGACAGTCTAGCCCCTCACTGTCCAGCAGGCCTAAGCAACATGAGTTGTAGCATGCTAAACACAACCACTAATTATTGGGGTAAAACCAAAAGAGAGATGACAATCATTACCACTTCACACACCCCCTACCCCAAATCCTGTCTGTCAGCTGACAGCCAAAGTATGTTAAAATTACTAATTGTTACCCATCTCAAACATCCTCCAGGACTTGAAGGAATTCCCTGCATCTGCTGGAATTTGGTGTTTTACTCAAAAGGCCACTAACCAATTGGTGTTAACTTCTAATTAGAGTAACCAAAGCCATGAGAGTGCCTCTGGTTTTGCTCATGTTGCAGCACCAATGAGCAAAATTATTGGAACCATCCTGAAGTACAGAAGGATTATAAAAACCCCAAGCCCATCTCCACCCCATCCCTGTTGTTTTAATAAAAGGACAAGACTAATGCTGGTCTTTAGCTGGCTGAACCTGACATCCTAGATGGCCAGGCAAGGGGGATGCCCTGCTCAGCGCTTCCCCTGCAGCTATGCAGATACCTTCTGCACAACCTTTTACATGAGCTCAAGTTTCTCCTGGGGACTTTCAGCAGAAGAAGCAATACAGCCTAATACCCACTACTACTGCCAAACAAGAAGGCTTCAGGTTCAAGGGTTGTTTGAAGACATTTGAAATAGGAAGATATTACAAATATTATTTATTAAAAACATCTCAATTTTTTGTTTGGTGTAGAGTTTATTTTGAACAGCAAAGCCAAGACACAAGGTTGGCGTCTCCATCCTTCATTTTCATACACTCTTAACACCTAAGCAGCTTCTCACAGATACAGCTAGAAGCAAAATAGAAAATCCAGGTGACGTCCTAGACAAATCAGCTGGACCCTGTTAGTCACATCTCTCATGCCATTCGCAAATGGTGTAGGCCAAAAGCGACTTGTGGCATGCATCACTCCCTGCTCTCAGGGCAGGGACCCAGCTGGGCACATTAACATCTCTGCTGTGCTCCTGCTTGCACAAAGGAAGCAGAAGTGCAAATATGTCATCAGCATTTAGGAAACCATTTTTAAAACTATGCTAGTCAGAACAGGATTTCTCCCTCATTTGGTAACCCAGTAACTTCAAGGAAAGAATTAAAATGCTGGAGTCTGGCAGGCAGAATTAGGCAATATTTTCCAGTCAGCTTTGGTTTCTCTATCAACATTTCAAAAGCCTAACCCTAGAAAGGATGCACCATTTCCAACCCTCCAAACAAGCACTTTTTGTTTTCCTCCTTACCTTGTCGCTGTTTCTGTATTTGCCCCATTTCTTCAGCATCTTTAGCCACTTGTCTACGCGTTCAATTTCCTGCTGTTTTTGCTGGTGCAAGGAGGAAGAAGACATGATAATTTAAGAAAAAAAGCACCCCAGAAGGTACATCCTGAAAATACACAACTTCATTCTCTTTAGGTTTAAACTTCTATGCAACACCCTGCATTGGTGTTCTGGTTTGGTTTGGTGGGTTTTTTCGTAGTGGGGGAAGGCCATAGGGGTGGTTCCTGTAAGAACATGAGAAGTTCCCCCTGCTCCAAACCCAGCCACGGAGCCATTAGAGGGACAATAGATGCGCCTCAGCGATTAACATATGAAAGAACTGAGATAAGAGCTGAGCAGAGGAAGAATTAAGGGAGAAGAGCTGTGCTGGAGGAGAGTGGTGCTGGCGGTTGGCGAGGAAGAACTGGAAGGTGCCCAAGCAGAAGTTTCCCTGCAACCCATGGCGAGGTGGCAGCTGTTCCCCTGCTGTTCCCCTGCCTTCATGGAGGAACGTGGTGGAACATTCCCTGAAGGCACCAGGATGAGTGAACTTGGCCAGTGGACTTGGATTTTGTGGCCAGAGGATTTGCTGCCTGTGGACTCTGATTATGCAGCTTTGGAAGACTCCGACGCCAGGGGAGTTTGTTCCCGAGGCAGCCCGTTACTCTGTGGGAAGCCCAGGCTGGAGCAGCTCCGGACCTTGTGGGAAGGACTCATGAAGAAGAGGTTCATGGAGGACTCTCTCTCATGGGAGCGACCCCGTGGGGAAGAAGGAAAGGACTGTAAGGAATCCTTCTTCCTGAGGTGGAAGGAGCAGCAGGAGCCACCAGCCTGTGAACTGACTCTAAACCCCATCCCCTGTCCCCCTGTGCTGCTGGGGGGAAGGAGGGAGAGAAACTGAGAACAAAGCAATTTGGGCCCGGGAAGAAGGGAGGGGTGGGGGTAACATATGCAAGCTCTGCTCTTTGTTTTTTCTGTGTCCTGTGTGTGTTTGATTAGTATTAAATTGATTTATTTTTTTTTTCCCAAGTTGAGTCTGTTTTGCCCGGGTTGTTCCTTTGTTGTCGTGTTGAGCTCAAACCAGACAACTGGGGATGGAAAAAATTCATAGGTGCTTCCAGGAATCAGCAATTTCAACCTGTGATAAAATTGAATCAGCACTGGTAAAAGCAAGACACAGAGGCTTCACATGGAGAAATCTTTTCCAAGACTAATATGTCTTGACAATAAAAACCTCTGCAGGTTCAGCTAGCCTCAGATTCTATCAACATATCAGATCAGCAGAAACGAGATGCTATTTAGTCTCAGCAGGATCCTAACAGAGGATTCCACTTCAGGGGAGATGAATGTGGAGATGATGGTTACCTACAACCTTCCCCCCCAGATGTGCAATCCTCTTTTCAAGCAGCAGCCACTGAGCAGTGTGCCAAAGCAGAAGGAAAAGTAAAAAATTGCTTTAAAAGGTATGACTCCAGTGCCAGAGGGGAGGTGCTTAACACAGGAAAATAAAAGTTCCAACAACCGGGCACTGTGCAGAGTTCCCACCTCTGCACGAGCAGCAGTGACCAGTGGCCTGCTTCGCTTTCACTTGTACATTCATTTCCTCTAAAAACATTCCCTGCCCAGCTTGTGTGGTAAGGATTTGAAACCCATGATGACAGAGCTGGTGGCTCTCACCTTCTCCTCCAAGGCTGTGCAGGTCGGCAGCTCCTGCTCGCTGGAAAAGCAAGGGATCATTGGTCACTCTATGACAAGAAAGTGTGCAGAGGAGCATGAGGTGCTGCAACTCAGGGAACAGGAGATACAGCTCAGAGGCTTCGTGCCTCTTCTTCAGCTGTCCCCAACAAGGAAGATGCAGAGGAAGTACCAGCCAAAATCCCTCCACCCTGCTGGGGAGTAATCAAGCACTGGACATCACTAGAAATTCTGGACATAAAGCTCCTCTTCAATACACACACAGTCAGAAATTAGAAGGGCAGGGGAAGATATTTCTGAACATCAATTGCTTTGAACCCCCCTCCTGCACATAAAGCACCTACTATTAAAACTTTTTGTTCAGATTTGGAATAAAAAATAGTTTTTTTAAACATTCTCCCCAGGCACAGGTGTGCATCTAGTTCAGATACACCTTGCTTAGGATGGGGATTTCATAAGAGAAACTGAGAATTATCAATACCTTCTCTCATCTATTCCTACACCTTCTTACACATCAGGCACAAACACAAGAACCTCTTCCTCTGTGACACACCACCGGCTTTCACAGAGGCACAGGAGCACCAACTTGCACCTTCTGACACCAGGCTCATTATGGGAAACAATTTCTGAGGCTTGCCTTGCAGCAGATTCAAAGCATCAGTGTTTGAACATGCGTGGTTGAGGGAGGAGGCACATCTAGTCTTTACTCCTGCATTTGGGACTGATGAAGCCAAACCACAGATAAGCTTATAGGTAAGATGCTGGGTCTGCCACATTTGATGCAGATAAATGGTCCATGCAGACACATGGGTCGGAAAGGACAGGAAAGGGCAGGAGGACTTACTGCAGGAATCCAAACCGGTCTGTAACTTTATACAGTGTGAAATCAGCATCTTCCCATGGGTCAATCTGAGCTCCTTCCTGCCTGCCCTGAAAGAAGAAGGACAACCAT